ATGGGGCATGTAAAGATGTAATGCGCCAGAACGGCCCCGTTTCTCAGAACCGCCACCTCCTTGACGACAAATTTGATCCCGACGACGAAACCTTGCAGGTCGACGAACGTTGGTGCAAACATGAAGAAATATCTCTCTTTCTTCGATGCGTGAATCGAGAGGAATAACGCGCGTTTCGCGACACTCTGATTTTTATATCCTGCTTCCCTCTTTTTTCCCCTCTCATAAATTTGTATCGGGAGTTAAAGAGAGAAAAAAATTTTCGTCGACGTTGCCGCGAACACTCAGACTATTTTGCACACTACGTTGGTCAACGGATTGTACTCGATCACGCGATCGTGTATGATGAGTCAGTACGCGGAGGTATTCGGCGGTACGTTCTACATGCAATCGAATTCTAGTCTGACATCCACGGTGGCGTTTTTGACGGATTCGTTTTGTCGAGAGCAATCAATGATCACAAACGGGCCGTTATGTAGAAAAGTTGAAACGGTAAGACTCGGCTCGAGATATTCGTATCCGTAATAGCCCTTGCAGAAACGCGCGTACATATCGTACAGAATCGCCCATCTGTGTTTACCAAAGTCCAAATTCAAATCGTCGTACGGATAGACTTCCGAGTTTAGGTAGAGTTTCACGTTGGTCAGTTTGCAGTCGTCGAATCGGCTCGTGTCCGCGGACATGACGTTCTTCCGACCCGTTTGCAAAGCGAAGACGACGTATCGCGGTTTCTCGAGCTGAGTTGCGGTCTTAATGGCCCACGAGTGCTTGGTCGTGTCTGCAACAGGGGATACTCGTACAGATCCCACAAACGGAAACCCATACTTAGATATCGTCTGTTTTCCAAGGCGCGCAGCATCGACAGTTTGTTGACCTCGCTCAATACCACGTGAGGCATTCGCCACTGTATCTTGAGTAGTTTGACAGTAGGCTCCAACGCGAGACTTCCCAACAGACAATTGTTGTCGGTGCGCGATCGTATCAAGATTAATTCGTGACGAGCGTTGATCACCACGCGTTTGTAATCCTCGCAAAATCCCAGTAACAGGTTGAGCGGTACGCAGAAATTGAAGTATCCGTTCGCGTTATTATGCGGTTCCCAGCCCGCGTTTCGCAGAATCACGCTTCTGTCGTAGTTCTTGAGCGTGCTGGTTATTCCTACGTTTCTGCAGTGATCAATCTCCACACCGTCGAGCTCGTATCGAATTTCATCGAACATGAACGCGACGCAATTATTCCCCAATACCACGTTATCGGCTTGGCCGGCTGCTCTGGTCACCGTCAATGTTCCTTCGACGTAGAGAAAACTTTCGCACGGCAACGTATACAATTCCTGCTGTTGTATAGGTATTCGTATCTCGTCGCTATACTCGAACGTTGTGTTGGCGTACGGGTTGT